TCTTGCTATTCTTTGGAAGTCTGCATTCAGTTTTCTGTAACTTTCCCTCTCTCCCTTCCGTTTTGTTTCCCTTCTCTTCTCTCCTATTTCTAAGGCCTCGTTGGACAGCCACTTTGCTTTCTTGCATTTCCTTTTCTTTGGGATGGTTTTTGTTGCTGCCTCCTGCACAAAGTTACGAGCCTCCATCCATAGTTCTTCAGGCACTCTGTCCACCAAAATCGAGTTCCTTAAATCTGTTCTTCACTTCCACTGTGTATTCATAAGGGATTTGGTTTAGATTATACCTGACTAGTCCAGTAGTTTTTCCTACTTTCTTCAGTTTACGCTTGAGTTTTGCTATAAGCTGATGATCAGAGCCACAATCAGCTCCAGGTCTTGTTTTTGCTGACTGTACAGAGCTTCTCCATCTTTGGCTGCAGAGAACATAATCAATCTGATTTCGGTATTGCCCATCTGGTGATGTCCATGTGTAGAGTTGCCTCTTGTGTTGTTGAAAAAGAGTGTATGTGATGACCAGTTTGTTCTCTTGACAAAACTCTATTAGCCTTTGCCCTGCTTCGTTTTGAACTCCAAGGCCAAATTTACCTGTTGTTCCTTTTATCTCTTGACTCCCTATTTTAGCATTCCAGTCCCCTAGAATGAGAAGAACATCTTCCTTTGGTTTCAGTTCTACGTAAAAGGTGGTGTAGAGGTTACAGCAAAACCTATGACCATCTAAACCTACAGAACACATAAAAGAAATGGATGTATCTCAACATGTGATTGTCTTGATATATACACTATACTCATATTCTGGATAAAAGACTAATATTAGGACAGAATATGGAGGAACAGAATGGTTTCCAATTGGCAAAGATGGCAGAATAAAGAGCATTTCATTTCCTTATCTGTTCAACCTATCTGCAGAGTATATCCTAGAAAATGCTGGATTAGAATCAGATGGAAAAGTGGAAAATGGTGGAAGCAATATTTAAGATATACCAATGATATATCACTGGCAAAAAAACACATTTTAAATTGGTGCTGATTAAGATTAATGAAGAAAGTGTGAAAAATTATTACAGTTGACAGTTAAGAAGATATACGTAATGGCTAGAATATCTGTGTAATATACGAGTTACTTAGCACAGCTAACTGTAGGCAACTGCCAATGTGCCAGGGCATGTCTCAATTAAACAACTGAGTGTAACTAGGGATGACTAGGGATGCAACCCATGTACCCCAGCACCTTATCAATCAGCTATCACACAAAACTTACTCAAACACCAGAAGAATACCAGTCAATTACTAGAAGAAAAACTTGTCAAAGATTATCTTTAATCCTGTTGTCTGAAATCAATCAAAATGGAAATTGCTTGGAAGGGCAGCTATACTGGAATTAAGGTAGGATCCTCAAGTATAAGGTTTTGTTGCTAGACAACAATGTCAAAATTATCCCTACCACAGTATTCACAGAGTTCTATGTATAGATGTGGAAGCTGAACAATAGAAAAAATTTACAGAAAAAAATATTATTTGAAATCTGATACTGAAGGATAGTTTTAGGGGTATCAAAGATCTGAAAAAGAAGCCTGAGCATTCTCTAGAAGCTAAAATGACATATAATTAGAAAGCTCACTGAAAAGTCAATAATGGTAGATAAAGACCACAGGAAAAGAGTCAGTAATAATAATTACACAATGTTGAATTAATTTGACTCATGGCAGTCCTTTCTAGGGTTTTCTAAATATAGAATAAACAGAAATGATTTACTATTGCCTTCTTCTGGGGTCGCTCAGGCTACACAGCCCAAGGCTGGCTCTTGCCTTGCAAAGTCAGGAAATCACACTCCCAATTTCAAACCTCACAGCCAGATATTTAACTCCGTATCTATGCAACCATGTACTGTACACTCTAGGAGCAGAAAATATTTAACACAAAAAAGAAAATAAAGAAAACTGTGGTCTTAATGTCTACAAGAACAGTTAATAACAAGGCCTTTTGAAGATCAGCAATTCATAGGTTGCCATAACACAGAAGTGTCCTGCTGCTGTATAACAATACTGTACATAAATGTGAGTGTTGGTCTTTGTAAATAAGCATTTTGAATTCTTGGCGTTTTTAAATGGAGCAACGCAACATCGAAATCTTTTATTTCTTATAAACACCAGAGTTAACAAACACTTGATATGTTTGCAATAGAGGGATTCTGTGCAAGTCTCCAGGAGCTCAGAGGTACAGTCTCCGAACTCTTTTCATAACACTTCTTCAAGCAGGTATGCGATCCCGAACATCGCATTTCTGGCCCTCGCACGGACAGCTCATGCCAGCCGGTTCCTAGGATCTTAAGAGGCGCGCCTAAGCCACCAAACTCTTCTCAGGAGTCCCTCCCGACCTCCACTGAACTGAATCGGACTTCCTCGCAGGTAGGCGAGTACAGGCTTATTGTGCAATCCTACCGACAAGTCCGTTTAGAAACCTCAGTGAGCTAAATGGGAATTAAGTCCCGGGAGTGTATAGGATCGCATTGCGAGCCACTCAAGACCCGCGGCGTGGTCATCCAGAGAACATCCCTAGGCACGCAGACAGAAACGCGCTTCGCCTCCCCATCCTTCTGCGCTCCGTCCATCTCTCCCCCCCTTCCACTCCCATCGCGCATGCTCAGCGATCAGCCTACTACACCTTTTCGGCCCCCCTCCTCCCTGCGCGCGCACCTCGGCCGCCCAGGCCTCTCTGGGCCGCTTTGGCCTTCATTGGCGCTGGCGCTGGCCTCCCCTCAGCGGCCGCCCTCTTCCCTGCCGCGCTTCCCTCCCTCAGGCAGGAGACCCTTCGGGGCCGTGAGGGCGGCCGTCGGACGCTGCATGAGGGCGGGCCCAGGGCCCGGCGGAGGAGTTTGGGCTCTCCCGGGATGGCTGGGCGGTCCCGGGAGGGCTGGGCGGCGGGGCGCGGGCGGCAGCGGAGGCGGGATAGCGGCGGCGGGTCCGTTGGGGGAAGCGCTGCGGTCGTCGTCGTCGTCGTGCGGCGGCGGGGGACCGGGAGCAGCAGCAGCATCAGCAGCCGCCGCGAGCGAGCCGGCCCGCGAGCTCTTCGAAGCCTGCCGGAACGGCGACGTGGAGCGGGTCAAGCGGCTGGTGAGGCCCGAGAATGTGAACGGCAGGGACACGGCGGGCAGGAAGTCCAGCCCCCTCCATTTCGCCGCAGGTACGGAGCGGGGAGGTGGCGGGAACGGCCCCTGGACCGACCCCTTCGTCTGGCACCGCTGCCCCCCCTCGGTGGGCTGGGTTTATAAGGCCCCAAGAGAGCCGGGGCGGCATCCTTTCCTTCGAGGAGGAACGGGTTTTGTTCCCATTAGGCCAGAAG